TTTCGCAGGTTTTTTACCTGCATTTTTAATTACGGATTGTATTTAGTGTTTTCGGGTTACAACAGATAATGTCCTGGAAAATTACTAGTACCTTTTCCATTTTTCTAGATATTTTTCTTACAGTGTACTAAGTGATCGACAATCGCAGGTACAAGCTAACAAGGTGTATCATTAATGAACAATTATTAAATTATTATTATTATTAATAAATTGAACAATTGCAAACAGCAAGTAACTTGATTCACGTGATGTGTGTACTCATCTTTGGTTTCCTCTTTTTGTGTAATTTAGATGAAAAATGTGTAAACAAAAAAACATATTTGAACCATGTCTAAACAAAAATATAACCTAATAAGTTACAATTAAGGCTTATTGAATGTTAAAATTAATAATTTAATACATTTCATAATTTAAAAGTTTAGTTCAGAAGTATCGAATCGGTATCGATATCGACGATACTGCCTTGAAAAATATCAGTATCGTATCGAAAACAAAAAAAGTGGTATCGCCCATCCCTAGTTGTGATGTCATTGCGCGATGACGTCGTTACGTAATCACGACGCAAAATTGTCACTGCATCAAATCTCATCAAAAATTATATTTTATATATGTTAATTTAGATTTGTTCGTAAAATAATATAAATACATAATATAATATTAAAATATAAACAACTGTATTTTTAAATACAGCATTGAACTGTTGAACACTTACACATTTTTTGAACAATTTAAGATTTTTTTTATTAGCTAACTTGTAAAACTACACATTCTGAGCAACAGTTTTAAGCAGTGTATTAGTATGCTACACTCTAAAAATCTGTAAAAATAGGGCAAAATCTACTATGTTAATATGAAGGAATTTTCCGTATTGATTTTTCGCAGGTTTTTTACCTGCATTTTTAATTACGGATTGTATTTAGTGTTTTCGGGTTACAACAGATAATGTCCTGGAAAATTACTAGTACCTTTTCCATTTTTCTAGATATTTTTCTTACAGTGTACTAAGTGATCGACAATCGCAGGTACAAGCTAACAAGGTGTATCATTAATGAACAATTATTAAATTATTATTATTATTAATAAATTGAACAATTGCAAACAGCAAGTAACTTGATTCACGTGATGTGTGTACTCATCTTTGGTTTCCTCTTTTTGTGTAATTTAGATAAAATGTGTAAATTTTTTATCGTTTGAGTCACATTTTAAAAGTTGCCAAATAAATGTTAAAAATAGCTAAAATTGTTGCTAGATGATTTTGGAAGAAAAAGTTGCTAGGGTAGTGTGAAACGTTGCTAAATTTAGCAACAAAATTGCTAAGTTGGCAACACTGCGCTCAAGTTTTGATATCCACTTTTTAAAAACTTGTCTGGCTTGCGGTTTTTCATTCTACTGCAACATATCGCGTTTTTGTGCGGATGGATATCACTTTAGGAATTGGCTTAATAAAATAGCATTTTTAACATACATTATTATATTATATTATATTATATTTATTATATTTATTATATTATATTATATTATATTTATTATATTATATTATTATATTATTGGCCATGGATTGGCCCTCCAGGACTGGCGGTGCCCAATCTGCCCATCCCTGTTCTAGCGGAAGGATACCTTCCACTAAATGAAGCTATTGGCTTGAAGATTTAGGAATTGTCTTAATAATTTATGATTATTATTCTATTTTATTGTATACATTTTTGTATTTTTTGTATTTATATATTTTTTGCTTTCCACTGTGTAGCTTTTCAATTATTTTTCTATGGAACTGTGTTAGACAGATGTGTTTGATTTACACATGAGTCTTTTGCAAGTTGCACCACTCAAGATTAAAGGATTTCAACGTTTAAAAAACATGTTCTGTGTGAATGACTCCTTAGAGACGATATCTTCTAGTGGAAGGATACCATTTGGCTTAATAACATAAGCTTTTAATAAAAGTATTTATTATATTATATATTTTGTATTACAGCCATTTGAAATATTCTTTTTCTAGATTCAGCAACAGAGCCATTTGGAGAACAGGCTGAGGTGACCATGCGCACCAACTTCTGGGGAACACTGTGGGTGTGCCATGCTCTTCTGCCGATACTTCGACCCAATGCTCGGGTGGTCAACGTGTCCAGCTTTGTTAGCAAGAAATCCCTTGACCAGTGCAGTCCTGAACTACAGGCAAAGTGTGTGAATCAGTTTTCATAGTAAGCGATCAGTTAAAGTACTTAGCATGTAGAATATTTATTTTGATTTTATGTTTACCTTTGAACAGATTCCGAAATAAAGATTTATCTGAGGAGGAGTTGTGCCTGCTGATGGGAGAGTTTGTTCAGGCTGCACAGGCAGGGGATCATACGGCTCAGGGCTGGCCAAACACTGCCTATGGTACCACCAAGGTAACAAGCATCCTTTTTTTCCTGACAAAAGGAGTCTGGTTTGTTTGGCAGTGTATTTTAGCAATAAGCAGGCCCAGACTAAACATGTATTTGTTTACTGTCTCTTTTAGATCGGTGTGACTGTGCTATCAAGGATCCAGGCTCGAGTTCTTACCGAGACAAGGCCAGGTGATGGTATCCTCCTGAATGCTTGCTGTCCAGGATGGGTGCGAACAGACATGGCTGGACCAAATGCTACCAAGGGTCCAGAGGAAGGGGCTGAAACTCCTGTTTATCTGGCCATGCTGCCCGAAGGAGCCAAAGAGCCACATGGACAGCTAGTGTGGGACAAGACTGTACAGGAATGGTAGCGTGAAGAAAGGAGGCGTCATCAGTTCATTCCATCTGAAAAGAATGTCATGATTACATCTGATAGGAAATGACTTTTCCAAAATATGCTGACATGAAAAGAATACTGTACATTTTCACTTCTACATCATTAAATTACATTTTAAAAAGCTCTCACATGTACTTGCTTCAGTTTTCTTGAAAGTAATTGTGTGATTTATAGATACGATATGAGCTCACCATATCTTATTTTCAGTATCTGTTCAGTTTCTAGGGTCATTTTGTTTATCTAAGATAAACAGATTTTGGCCTCAAATGCTTCTTCCACAGAACAGATTTTACCATCTGAACAAACCAAAATCTCTATATACATTCCTATTTTGTGAAGCAAAATGCATATTTAGTTTGCCAGAACATTTGTGAATTTGTGATCTTAAATTGTATCCATTAAAATGATTTGTTGTAAGCTTGACTGCCTTCGCGTTCTTCATGCTCAAAGGTTATTTCTGCTTAAGTCATGTGCTTATTTTAGGATACTCAAAGCATTAGATAGAGAAATAGTTACTGTATTATAGAATACTGACTTTTGTGCCCTGCAATTCATCCACAGTCATACCCGGCTCAAGACATGAAGTAAAACAACAGTTATGCAAGCTTTTGTTGGTGCAACCTCTGCTCTTGAGAAATCAAAGCCATCATAAAGCAATCTGTAAAACAATCTAGCTAAGAAACTGGCAATAAAATGTGCAGTATCTAAACCTTATTGGTCAACAGAAAGCAGTTATCAATGCAGAGAATGTAATATAGTTTTTTTTTTTTGTAATGTATTTGAACTATTACTCCACCAACTGGTAGATTAAAGTTTGGTGTATGTGATAAAACACTGTGATCAACTCTGGTAATCAAATCCCCTCCCGTCTTGTTTGGATCATGTTCACAATATTACAATACCAAAGTCAAAGATGATTTAATTGAAAGAAAAAAAAATCAACAAAAACTATTTTGTTTTATAGATAGATAGATAGATAGATAGATAGATAGATAGATAGTATTTGTTTAGTGACATTAAAATAACAAATTAAAATTGTATGTTACATGTGTATCCAGTAGAAGGCGCCATAGATATTTGTAAATTAATTTACATAAGGGCTGGGAAGCCGTAAAACACAATCCCTTGCAAGTATAATAATTATTGGAGCTGAAATTCCATGTTAAAAGAACAGAATGTCAGAATATCTTATATCAAAAAACATATAATCACTTTAGAAACATGTCGAAGAACCAGTATTCATCTACATTCGTTTGTGGGAGAGTGCAAATAATACTAAAATAGCTTTATCCCAGTTACTCCACTAGATGGCAGCATAGGACAAAAATCTAAGGAATATCCTCAAACTCTTCTCTTGTATTGGTTGTTCATTTATAATTAATTTAATTACAGTATGCTGGTACCACGTTTAAAGTCTATTGAGCGTTTTTACTGATATATATCAATTTATTTGTTTATGTCCATGCCTGTGTTGGCAGCCTACTGTAATCAGGAATGGCTGTATAGTTTCTGAGGCCAAGGAGATATACAGTAGGCTATAAACAACAAATCGGTACATAAACATAATTCATCAGAATTAACTGGCTCTAATTCTGTTATATTTTCAGTAAGAGTCAAATAAATTACATAAAATGCAGTGTAGAAACTTTTAATTCACATCCTTTATAAAAAATAAACAAGAAAAAGCCTTGCCAGCTCTAAAGTAAACAAAATAATTGGCAGGAAATTGTTCTGGGAAATTCTGGGAAAAACAGCACAACAACATGCACTAAAAACAATCAGTGGTGATCACAAATACAGTATACCGCAATAAAATTACACCAACAGCACAGCCTTGCAAAACCCTGAACTACCTTGTAGCAACAGTGCTTCGTTCTGGAGCTAATGCATCATGGTATTAAAACAGCGTGTTCTGTGTTTTCAGATGGATTAATTACAAACAATAATTTAAAATCATTTTCAAGCACGTATTTAAAAATAAGGTTTTCAATGTCAACAGCATAATTAAGTAATAAGTAAGCAATGCTTGTTGACCTAGAAGTACAGATATCAACAGACAATTATTATATTCCACTTAATACACACTGTACAGTAAACATGTCCAATAGTTTTTAAATGCAACATTTTTTCAGTCGTTTCTGACAAAAGAGACAGAACAATCTACACCTGAACTGTGATGAACGTTTTAAGTCACAATTTGATTTTCTGCTAATAGTAAACACTTTGGGCACCTTTATATCAAACAATGAATATGACCACTTTTATGACAACAAGTACAGCACATGTAGAGTGTTATTCACAAGATAAACGTACAACAGTATAAAACAATCAATACATCTAAGTGTGGTATCAGTGGAGTCAAATAAAATGAAAAGGACAAGTTGACCAAAAAAAGGAATAAAAGAGTCCCCTCAAAAAATACTGGGTTACAATTGCCTCAAGATGTTCCTCTCTTGATTTTGCTCATCAGGACCAAACGGTGACAGAGCTTTTAGCAACACTTGCAGGTCTTCACAATCATATTTGACAGCTGTTCTACCTGCGGAATGTTTTAACATTATTTGGATGAAATTTCTGTTGACCACTGATGAAAGTGATATTAAAAGCATCAGTGAATTTTATTCTGACCTTATGTTGGCGGCCCACATAGTAAAGGATGGGCAGTGGGTCTAGAACCTGCGGTACACAGCAGGGTTGAGCAGATGCACCAGGATTGTGATGCCTATACAGCGCAAGAACCTGCAGGCAAAGAAAACCAGACAATTTCAGAGCCATATTTTCGAATCAGTCCAGTTGTAAAACATTTCCAAGCATCTGACAGTCCTGATTGCTACCTGTGAGTACTTATTTTCTGAAGTCCAGACGAAAGAGCAAGAGCCAGTGCAATAGTTGGCATAATAACCAGAAGGTTCATGTATCCACTTCCAGCCCAGGTCTTTGCGGAAGTCAATGTATAGACTCCTCACACAGCAGCCCGCAGACTTACTGCATTTAACATGAAGATGGCACACGGTGAGGCGTTTGATATAGTAAGAATAAAGAATGTCAAATTTATTTTATGCTTACTCATAAAAGGCTCACTCGGTACAAACTTGATCTGTTTCCGTTTGACGTTTTCTGCGAGATTTTGATGAGCTGTGGCCATCAAGAGGAAGTGACATTACCAAAATGTGAGGCCTAGGCACATTTTCTACTAAGGGGGCTTTATCACCTCTTGTACGAGACAAACCTGCAGACACAAAGAGCAATATCAACTTGTCCTATCGACATCAAGACATAGAGGATTTCATTTTTAATTCACAAACCTTTTATTCTAATTGGAAACTGCTTCTGAGGCTCACAGTTATCAGCCATCTTCAGTTGAAATCCTTGCTCTGCCTCTATGAATCAAATTTTAGAGAAAGTTTTATTTATGATGCAAACAATGCATACGTGTAATAAACACTTATTTTAAACTGATACATCAGTTACAGCGGCAGTGTTTTCAGTAATATAAAAAGAAAAATGATCATCAACCGAATATTAACCTGCTGATCATGATGTAAATATTATTGTGTACTGTACTGTTTTATTTACTTATATATTATAATGTTTGTGGAAAACTGTGATAGTGTGTTTTGTCTTAATGTCTTTATTGTCACGTTATATACATACATACATACATATATAACATTTGCAATTTTTCAACTCTGTAAGAAAAGTTTTAGGACATTAGCTTAAGTTAGTGTGTTTGTTATCTTCTATCATATAAAGATTACATAAGCATGAAAATTAAATAGATAAAATCTTTAAAATTAAAGTGCAAATACAAAAAGAACTACACCAGAAAGGGTAAAAGTTTGTAAATTCTGCAAATGTTGGTTTGCAACAGTGTTATTTTAGTATATTTATGTACTATTTATTAATAATTTAAAATAGCTGTTATATTTAATAATTATTAATAATTAATTTAATTAAAAATATTAATTGTATTATGTGCTTTTGTAATTTTGTAGTTTTATATTACATTTTATGTTTATATTTTTTGTTTTCTTTTCGTTTTTTAAAGTTTTTTTGTTTTTGGTAAAGCTTGTAATGTCAATTTTTTTAAGTGTGTAATGTAATTTACATGTTATAAATCTTATATATATAGCTTTATTTCAATTACTAAAAACAATTTTAAATCCAAGTTTTAGTTACTAACAACACTGGTTTGTATTTATTAATAGACATACTAACAATAAATAAAAATGTGTTTCATCATTATTTGATTCTTAACTGATGTATGGGGGGGCTTGGGGGGTGCAAAAAGTGGGACATGGCTAAATTCTAATTAGAAAATTGTACATATGTTTACTACAATAAATTCAACATTAAGATTAAAGATTTTAATAATTAGATACAGTTGAGTGGGTCATTTGATGTGATGAGCTACTTTTCATGCTAGGTTAATCTTACATTAGATTAGATACTTCCTCACAAAATCACACAAGGTCACATGTGGCAGGCAGCGCTGTTTCTCACCATTCCTCTGCAGCCAGTCCTTCAAGGTCTGTGTGACATCAAACGACAGCCACTTGCCAATCATTAGTCTGGAAATGAAACGTGATTCCAAGTAGCGTGATTTGTTCCCAGTGACCTGATATAGCTCCAGTCTCTGCTCTGAATCAGGAGCCATTGAAGCATCCCAGATATGCAGACGGAGCTCCACCTGGGAGATTGTGTGGTTTAAACCCAATTTGTGTCTTATATCTGTGATGTTGAACCATAAGAGCTTGTCCGGGCTTTCCACCACTGGTGATGAGATAGAAAGCAAAAATGTCGGAAATATGTTTGTAAATGTCTTTGATGTCCTTTTATATTTTACAAGACGCTGTTTAAATGGAGCACAGAAAGAAGGAACAAAGGACTATTTGTGTGTGTGTGTGTGTGTGTGTGTGTGTGTGTTTGTGTGTGTGAGCTGTATTATAATGAGAATTACAACAACAATGCTCTGCAATTAGGTGCCAATGATATAGTCATACTGCACAAACAATATGTTGACGCTTTATAAAAGTACACAATGATATTTAAAGGTAAAACTGCAGTAATGACAAATGAATCAGAAACATTTGAACAAATTTATTTAACTAACTTATGTTCAAAAATACAGTAAAAACAGTAATATTGTAAAATATTATTACAATTAAAAATAACTGTTTTCTATCTTAATGTATTTTGAAGTCTAATTTATACTTGAGATGGCAAAGCTACATTTTCAGGAGCCATTATTTCAGTCTTCAGTGTTAACATGAACATTCAGAAATCATTTTAATATGCTGATTTGCTGCTCAAGAAACAGCTCCTATTATTATCAATGTTGAAATGTTGGTTAAAATGTTTGTGGAAAACTGTGATAGTGTGTTTATATATATGTGTGTGTGTGTGTGTATATGTGTGTGTGTACATTTGAATGTTTGCTGCAGGCATTGGAAACCTCAAAATTAGTGACTGTTGTCATTGTCGGTGGTTTTGCAAGTTCGTGTTAGACACCGAACAACAAAACCTCCCTAAACCACTGTTGTCATTTTCATCCAAATAAGGTTTTAAGAGACAATAACAGATCAAGAGATGTTTGGAGTCGAGCGATACTGTAGTTTACCAAGGAACTCTAAATCCAGGATCTGAGTAACTTCATTAGCATTCACTTAGCAGCCTTCCTTCCTGTTTGTGGTCAGATAATTCGCACGCACCCTCAATTCTCCGAGGAAATCATCGGGCACATGGCATTTTAGCCATAACACAATGTAAGGTGCTGTAATCATTCAATAATCGACAGGACAATAGAGAAAGAACAGACTCACTCACTCGGTTTCATGGTGAACTTGTGAACTTCCTTAGCGTAGTATTCCTCCTCCATAGGATCTTCTATAGGTTGGTGTACAGGAGTCGCCGCCTGCTCCTCATTTAGCTCCACGGTGCTGTTGTACACCGAGATGAGCTCTGCTGGGATGTTGTCTATCACCTTTTCCTCATCTACTTCTGGTTCCTTAGACAGTCGTAGCTTGCTGAGAATCTGTCCTCGAATGGCTTCGATGCGCTTTCTCTTTATTAGTTCTAAGTCTAAAGGACTGCATGTTGACAATGCTCTGCTATAGTGCACAAATCCCAACAGGCATTGCAATGCCAATAATAAACTCTCCGCCCTCATGGTCAGTGTCGCTGGAATTTATGTTGAGTCTTTGAATGTGGCACTAGATGGTTACAGATATTAGAGGTCTTGAGCACTTCTAGATACAATGCTGGCGTCACTTTAGCATTGCTACAGCGTAAGCTGGTGTTGTCTTCTTCACTTCAAACCCAACGGCCTGAATCAGAACCCAAACATCACTGAGATACTGATGCCAATAGTGGCACAACAGCCTCAATGGATCTGAAATAAAACAAACAAATCTCACCAGTGAAGTCAGAGGTCCATCGAAAGTACACAATAGATGTCCTTGCAAGCCACCCTGCTTAATTTACAGTACAGTTTCTATTCGATAACCTCAACGGTTCCTTGGGTCCCGCTCAACAGGAACAAACAAATACAAGTATTTGAGGTTCAAAGTAGTAGTTATTTTCGTGTGCCGTACCCTTGTTCTGAAAACACTTAGTTTGCTCTCAACTCAAGGAATGACAAAAGAGGAAAAGGAAGCAGCACAGTTTAACCAAATGACACAACACTTCCTTTGCAGCACAGTAGTTTCCCCTGTAGATTGAACCCAAACTGTGGACAATATGTGAGGCAAAGGGTTTAGTTTAACTCATGATGGCATTCATATGCCTGGAGTCAGCTGGTTATTGCTATCCACTCAGGAATTAAACATTTAGAACGAAACCAGATGTTATGAAATATTTCCCTAATTAAACAAGTATTCATTAAATAATGTTACATTAAAGCCTTCTTAAGGCCTGTTTACACCAAGAATTTTAACTATTAAAATAATTATAATGGTCTGTTTATTATAGCCGTACACTGCAGTTTTGTTGTGTTACTTTAAATCCTCAAGCTTTCTTAATGATAATCATTAATCAATGTTCTTATTGCTAATCAGCTAGAAAAAAAAATTGTTCTGAAGTGATTCCAATGTTATTGTTCTTCTGCATCATTATCGTTAGTTGTAGTGTGGGATTCACCATCTTCAAAGAATTAGAACAATTATAACTTTATACTATATACTTCAAGGTCGATAACTATAACGATAACTATATAGTGTCCACTTAATGCATTACAGTAATGTAATAGGTGGGTGTGCTCTGGGACTTCACTTTCTATGACATGGAAATTTTTTCTGCTGTTGTGCTGAACTTTGACGCAAGTATATCGTGGTCTTTAGGATACTGCTATCTCATGTGTGAGTATGCATGATTTTGAATATATTTTTCAAACGTTTTGTATGTAAAACTTTTTTAATGAATAAGAAATCAATGAGGTTAGTTGGGTATGTTAAGGTAAGAGTTAAATGGCACAGCTCAGAAATTATGCTAGGGCTGCAATTTATCTTTTAGAATATCTTCCACATCTTGTGTTTACAGAATGCAGACTCAATTCCCAAAGGAGGTATCCTACTTTCAACTCTTAGAACTCTTAGAAGAAAGCAGAACGTTTTTAAACAGCAAATTAGCAGAGGTACCAAAAATTAGGACAACTACACACTCATCAACTTAAACTAAACAACAAAAAAAACACCCTCCCCCACCCCTCTTTCTTCTATATAAAGAAACAGAATTTAAGAGAGGAACTGATGAACCTCAACAGAAGCAGGATGCAAAAGAGTGCATTAAAATACTCTTTAACGCCCTTTCAAAACAATTCTGAAACAGGATGGTGAAAATAATTTCACCCCTTCAGAACAGTTGATAGACAGAGTGTGTATGTATATATATATATATATATATATGAAATTGAGTAGTCTTTTAAATATATTTTATATATAAATATTGACTCACCGTAGCCTGCTGAGTGCTGATGGCAAAAATGAGTTGTGATCTTACTCGCCCTTTTGTCTTTTTTTAGTCTCACTAAAACAGTTTGAACGCCACACAGGAAATGAGCAAAATGTGACAAAGAGCTGATTCTCACTATCTACATAACACAGAGCCTGCTACAAAATGTTACAGAAAGATGTGTTTACATTGAGAAAAAAAATATAGGACCGTACTGACGCTATGTACTGAGTTGAACTGCGTCAGGTTTTTCTTTGACAGGTCTTTCTCATATCAATTCTTGATGAATGACTTTTTCCAACCAAACCAATTTAATTGCATCAAAACAAAATAGAATTCTATAAAACATACAAAGTGTACAAAAAGTGTACAAAATGAAATAAAAAAGTATTGTTTGAGATCCAAAGTACAAAAACACAGTATCAGTCTGCGGAGATAAATCTATCACTCACCATTTCACTCAACTCTTTGTATAACATACAACACTTACATTCATACACACCTTATATAACTACCTCCTGCCCAATATAACAAAATATTTTACCTTCTTTTCCTCTCCATATATCATAGACCTGAAATATATGACAACCTGTAGTCCGTTCTCAGCTCTCCACACCGTATCTGTCAAAGTGGCGCAGAATAACGCACAGCTCTAGTTCAACTGTGCCCATGCCAACTGTGTGGAGTCTGTATCTGTCTGCGCCACTGTAAATGAGATCTGGCGAGCGCAGCTGTGGTCCTCCTCCAACAAACATCTCAGCAAGTTGATCCTGCCAGGATCCCAGCGGTCGCCATGTCACGCACTGCAGATGATGCTGTCCTGGGCTTGATGGTACGTGGATATAACCATAACCATACAGCTGGCATCGGCCAAAAGAGTCCTGATGCCACACCTGGAGATGAAGCCTTGGCCATCCTACAAGTATAAAACACCTCTATATATTAAATCATGCTTAAGTGATTATAAACTCTTTCTGTGACACTAAAATACAAGATGAATACCTTGTAGGCCCTTAGTAGTGTAGTGCAAATCAATGGGATGCCTCCAGTATGCCATGTCCCCAGTTTGAGGCATGTCCACCTGAGTCTGGCCTTCCTTCAGACCAGAAAGAAGTCTCCATGCTCCTCCTAAATGGCACAAAAAAAAAGTGTTAACGCAAACTTTGAGATGTCAAATAAACATTAAAATAAAAATTCATAAAATAAAAAACAAAAAAAATTCTTTACACCATTAAAATGCAAGACAAACACTATATTTGTCTATAAGACCAATGTTTTTTGGTCACCACTGTACAAAGCCCGTAAGTGAATATGGAGATGAAAAAAAAAACTATGAGATGGGAGGAAAATGTATTTATTTTTAAAATTTCAATGTGTTCATGTTCTCTCACGAAATAATTGTGTTACTTTGCGAAAGTGTGTTCCCCCATGAAACATTGTGTTCTCTCACAAAACTATTGTATTCCTGAGGAACTTTGCATTCACTCTCTCGTTTGGGAGAGAATGCAAAATGATTAAAATACAATGATTTTGCATACAACATTTTTATTAACACGACATCCCTTTAGGGGTCTGTAAACCTTCATTTTTTTAACAGAGTATAAAATATTTTATAATAAAATAAAAAGGATACCTGCGTGTACACCCCATTTGCAGAAGAGGCTGTTCTGTGGGAATCCGGTGGCCCCGATGATTTGTCCAATTATATGCAATTCTGCCATAAGAGTCCTGAAATATCATTATGAAGTATGTTAGTTATCACATCCATCAGTCCAAATGACTATATAACCAATTTCATACACCACTATTCATATATATTTAGATTCACGCATTTTCTGACAAATCGTTATTTTCTGCTCCAACATAACGTTATATCTTAACCATTTCTGTCTACATGTTTGTGATTGATTATTCATACTGTATCGTTTTTAGCATTGACATCGATTCATTGATCGGCAATGAGCTGATAACGCTAATCCCAGTAGCCTTGTTCCTTGTTTCCAGCGCCTTCCTGTCGTCAAGGATGATTTCCTTAGCAACTCACTTCCTCGTGCTCTGTGCTTGTGGATATTTTTAGTTTGACAAGGTTTGTAGCTGCCATCTAGCGGCCCGTGCTTGTTTTGCATTGCAAGCATGGAGGAAGAAGCACCGTAGTGTTATTGCTCTTCAATGACTGATGCGTTCTCGTTCGAAACTAATGTAGGCCTATGTTCAGTGCTGGGAAGGTTACTTTGGAAATGTAATAGGTTACAGATTACAAGTTAACCTATTAAAAAAGTAACGAGTAGTGTAACTATTTAAATTACTGTAATGTAATTGATTGCATTCTTTACTTTTTGATTACTTTTCTAATTTGTATTTATTATTTTTTTTCTTTCTATATTTTCTAAACTTTTAATCGTTTTGAAAATTTAAAAGCAGGCAGGGTTAACCTTACAGTAGTACTCAACACCGATTACAGTCAGACTTTACAAAATCCTTCATCACTTTAATTAAGATTATAATAATTTAATTTGAAAGCACAGCCACCACTTTAGGACCTCTTTTTACTTTGAGATCATTCTGAAGTTAAATACAGATTTAAAATCATAAGATATTTAATAGCTATGATACTGTTTTGAAATCAAATCTTTGCATTGATATGACAGGAAACACTGGCATCTGCCTTGGGGAAAAAAACAGTTAATTTTTTTAAATAAAGCATATACATAAACCCAAATAAGAAATAAAACAGTTATCAAATATAGGCTACATGTGTCTTATTGTTTGTCCTAAACTCCTGAAACATTGGTGTCTCATATTTTAGAGCAGTCAATGCAATTCTGTAAAGAAATCAATCAAATCTGTATGTGTGAAAATCGTTAACATAACTGTAGTTTAAATTACACATTTTTTCCTCAGTAACTGTAACAGATTAGTTACATTTATTTTGTAGCCTAATTAAATTACATAATTCTGTAACACGCATGACGCATACTAGGCTGACCTTTCAAAAATGGAAACACCTTTCCTCCCCTTTCTACAAAACATATTTATACATTGTATATCAATGTGTAACAAGCACTTGAAAGTTGTTAGAATACATTGATGTTTGTTTGTTTGTTGGTTGGTTGGTTATTTTCTTATTATATGGAAGTCACATTAAAATATAATTGAATTTTTTATTAATGCTATAATCAGTTATTTTTTGCTATATTTTTTAAATGCCTTTATTACTGTTAAAATGTAAAAACCCATATAAAGTAATCATAAAAATCATTAAAATATCAACATAAATTATTATGATAATTTAAACAAATGCATAACCATTGTAACAATTTATGAAAACATTAAATAAAGCATATACATAAACCCAAATAAGAAATAAAACAGTTATCAAATATAGGCTACATGTGTCTTATTGTTTGTCCTAAACTCCTGAAACATTGGTGTCTCATATTTTAGAGCAGTCAATGCAATTCTGTAAAGAAATCAATCAAATCTGTATGTGTGAAAATCGTTAACATAACTGTAGTTTAAATTACACATTTTTTCCTCAGTAACTGTAACAGATTAGTTACATTTATTTTGTAGCCTAATTAAATTACATAATTCTGTAACACGCATGACGCATACTAGGCTGACCTTTCAAAAATGGAAACACCTTTCCTCCCCTTTCTACAAAACATATTTATACATTGTATATCAATGTGTAACAAGCACTTGAAAGTTGTTAGAATACATTGATGTTTGTTTGTTTGTTGGTTGGTTGGTTATTTTCTTATTATATGGAAGTCACATTAAAATAGAATTGAATTTTTTATTAATGCTATAATGTTATTTTTTGCTATATTTTTGCCTTTATTACTGTTAAAATGTAAAAACCCATATAAAGTAATCATAAAAATCATTAAAATATCAACATAAATTATTATGATAATTTAAACAAATGCATAACCATTGTAACAATTTATGAAAACATAAACCTTTTTTTTTAAATGTGTAAAAATGACTTAATGACATACAGTAATTTATCTCTCAGCTGTGATGCCATTTCCACCTCCACTAAATATTGTTAAGAGTAAAGTTTTTCAGAATTGACTGAACTAGATGACAGTGCAGTCAAGATTAAACATGAGACATATGATTCATTCTGAAGTTAAATACAGATTTAAAATCATAAGATATTTAATAGCTATGATACTGTTTTGAAATCAAATCTTTGCATTGATATGACAGGAAACACTGGCATCTGCCTTGGGGAAAAAAACAGTTAATTTTTAAAAATAAAGCATATACATAAACCCAAATAAGAAATAAAACAGTTATCAAATATAGGCTACATGTGTCTTATTGTTTGTCCTAAACTCCTGAAACATTGGTGTCTCATATTTTAGAGCAGTCAATGCAATTCTGTAAAGAAATCAATCAAATCTGTATGTGTGAAAATCGTTAACATAACTGTAGTTTAAATTACACATTTTTTCCTCAGTAACTGTAACAGATTAGTTACATTTATTTTGTAGCCTAATTAAATTACATAATTCTGTAACACGCATGACGCATACTAGGCTGACCTTTCAAAAATGGAAACACCTTTCCTTCCCTTTCTACAAAACATATTTATACATTGTATATCAATGTGTAACAAGCACTTGAAAGTTGTTAGAATACATTGATGTTTGTTTGTTTGTTGGTTGGTTGGTTATTTTCTTATTATATGGAAGTCACATTAAAATAGAATTGAATTTTTTATTAATGCTATAATGTTATTTTTTGCTATATTTTTGCCTTTATTACTGTTAAAATGTAAAAACCCATATAAAGTAATCATAAAAATCATTAAAATATCAACATAAATTATTATGATAATTTAAACAAATGCATAACCATTGTAACAATTTATGAAAACATAAACCTTTTTTTAAAAATGTGTAAAAATGACTTAATGACATACAGTAATTTATCTCTCAGCTGTGATGCCATTTCCACCTCCACTAAATATTGTTAAGAATAGTTTTTCAGAATTGACTGAACTAGATAACAGTGCAGTCAAGATTAAACATGAGACATATGATGAGAAACCCTGAAAAAGTGTGAAAATATTATTCATTTTGTGCATTTAGGATACATAAAATGCTAGCTAGGGTGAATGTTTTGCCCTAAATTCAGCAACTTATATGACAGCTCCACTAAAGTTCTACTTAACATCCAGTTATGACATTATAACTGTTTCTTTTTGTCCTTCTGTTGGCTTAAGTAGACTATAGTAGAATGTTCCACATGTAAGAATAGCTATATTCATAGCATGTTCATGTGCGTTTTTTTTAATAGTGAAGAAGAAAAAGGGTTAATTTAAAATCTTTTAATAGATCATGTTTATCTTTTTGAAAACTTTGTTATTTAGCTCTTTACGTTAGTATTTTGTTTGACAAATGGAGAGTAAAATACATTTCTTTGCATGTCTGTCATCATCTTCTTAGAACGTCCCCTGAAGATGTCATTATTATTTAAAACTTTGATGTTTACACAGCGCACTCAATAACAACATGTGCCAAACATAAGGTTCTCTTCTCCCTGTGGCCCAAAGTATCCACCTCAGGTAGACATCAACGCCACATCTCAAAGCCTCAGAGACCACATTTGTACAAAAACAGACAAATAGTAAATATTTAATGAGACTCATAATGGAAACACAAGGGACTGTGTGTGAGTGGATTCTGAATGTAACCTCCAAGATTGACATGATGTGGTTATGAGAGTTCAGATCAACACCGTAAGTGCATATCCTATTTTGAAGCACACAATAACCATAGTAAAAAGTATTATATTTAAAATACATTTATTTCATACTGAGTATAGTTCAAATGTATTAACATTTGTTGACTTATCGCTCAAGACTTACTGATATAAAAATCACAATTAAACTTGAGTACTTGTTCACAATGCACATTTCTTAACATTAAGCCTAAAATGTGTTTTAATGCCATTATTGATGAGGATTGTATGATCTTTGAATAATATCAGTCTTTAAATGCAAGATATTTAAAGTGTACCTTGCAATAGTTCCACTTTAGCACAATCAAATATAACCCAGTATATCTGTAGTTGGACTTCAGCACTACTTCTGCACAATTAAAGTGAATTAAGTACAAAATTAGTTGTTCCAATTTAGCAGACTTTAAGTATACCAGTTTAAAAATACAACTGCAGGGTATTTTTATTAAGTACATAAATATGTAAATGTATTTGTAGTATACTTAGCATCCCACGTAGCCCAGTCCACAAGGACAACGCAACATATATATAACGTTGGTTGCTTTACAAGAAATCGTTCCTCGGATTTTAAAAGTTTTACCAGAAGAGGGATGATTAAAAATTTGCATTTTATACTTAAAATTACATTGTTGACAGCTACCACACTTGAAATTACCAAAAGGTATATGACTCAAGAAATGTGTTGGTTGTGGAACCGACAGATCTGCCCTAACCAGCATGTTGCGCAAATTGGGAGGTCTCTTATAGACCACCCTAGGTGATTTATCAAAAATTGATTGCAACTTGGGATCGCTCTCAACAAATGTGCCAATAACTGGGCTACGTGGGAAAAACAAGTAGACAACTTAAAACTCGTATTGCTGAACATAGATGTGCAATTAGGCACCATGACCCCAGAAGTCCAGTAGCACAACATTTTTCCAAGTTTAAACATTCGGTTTCGACTCTACGATATACTGGCATCGAAGCAGGTAAATTACCTCGAAGAGGGGGTGATATCCACAATCTACTTTTAAAACGTGAAGCATATTGGATTTACACTTTGAATACTTTATCTCCTAATGGTCTCAATGAAGATTTTGATATTCGCCCTTTTCTTTAATCATTATAGTGATTTAGATGGTAAGATTGACCACATGTTATATTATGCTTTCATTTTTTGTTTTGAATGTAATTTTTGCATTTTTTGCATTTTGGTATTTTCTTTGGTGTAATTTTGAACATTTTGCAGTTAGGTATTTATTTAGTGAAATGTATTTGTGCTTGTAATTTATTGC